CTAATCTATGCTGCTAAAAGCAATGTATATGTCTCCTCAGGGTGTTTCTGGATCCAGAGGCTAATTTAAATTTACATCCAGATGTCCTCTTCTTGCAGACTAGTTTGATGACTAATTCTTTATAGCCGAAGATCTAGTCCTTTTTCTTATTAATCTGCATAATTTATTTTATAATTGTTGTCAATAGCATTATTCTTTTTATTCAGCTTTATAAGGCTCCTATCTGCTTTTTGTGACACTGAGTATATTGCAAGGAAATACTTACCAAAAAATTACTATTATTTCTTCATAAGAAAGGATCAGTCTATACTGCTATTGTGATAAATGACACTTGCTTTATATTGATTTCTTGTAAGGGTTGCAGTAGTAACATTAAAGTTGTTGACAATGTTGTTCCAAACATTTTAGGTAATTAATTATAATCCCCTAACCAAATTATGCTCCAGACATGTGATTGCCACTGTTTTCAGCCCAGCTTGTGAGAATGCAGGTAATTTTCCTTTTGTGGCTCTAGAGTTTATCCAATCTGTCCAGTGAGATTTTCAATCAAGACTGTATTTGGTAATTTGGACTAGTGTACCAAAATGATTGCTGCACCTCGGTAACCTGAGAACTGGAAACCTGAGAAAGGAGAGGTCCGTTTAATAAAGGTGGTATTACCAAAGAAGCAGCATAACTCAGAATAACCTTGGAGCAGAAACATGCTCGGATGCTGCTAGGGAGAGGACAAACACACTTTCTCTTTCTCCGTTAAAATCCAGTCTGTTTTTGATAAAAGAGGAGTTTGAATTTGAGTTGCTGTCATAATTTTTCATCTGTGTAGAAGTGGGCGGGATCTCCTAGTCAAGTGCTGTTTTGAAAGAAATGTGTTTGCTGCCCAATGACTCACCTTCACTTCTAGTTTCAAGACAGTGTATCAAATTTAGGGAGCTGTTTTTTTCTCAATAGACCCAGCATGTTCTTTGCTTCTGTTTAGTAATTTTTAAGCAATTCTATATGCGACTTTTTTTTTTTCTAAAGCCTCATAGAGAGATAGAGACTGTCATATTAGGTTATGTTAATAACTCCTAAAATAAATGAAACAGCCAGATGATTAAAGCTCTTTCTTAAAACAATTGAAGAGTGAATTTATTGGAATTTTCAAGAATATTAATTACAGGCCTAATTTGGATTTAATTCAATGGGAGCTGCACTTCTATGTCACTAAAATACAGGGATTTTCAGACTCTGCCAGCTACCTCTTTAGTCCCTAAACCAATTGAAAAGAGAGCTTTAGCCAGCATTTTCAGGGAAAACAAAGTCACGTGCCATAATAATCTCTTCCACAAAACAAAATGTTGAGATGACTTTACTGAAAAAAAGCATTGGTTTTTTTTTTTTTTTTTTTTTGGTTTTTTTTTTTTTTTTTGTTGCCAAGTACAAAATAGCAAAGGTCAAAACTAATGCTCAGGTACAGAGTGTGAGGTCACCCAAGTGAAGGTTTGGAAATCAGAAGGTTTTTCTTTTACGTATTTGTGTTTCAGGGTTCAGGGATAGATGAAACTGTACCAGGCAGTAGATCTTTCAAGTGCTGTTTTGATACTTCATGTGCTGGTATCAGGGCCGAAGTTATTTCTAATTCAATTCCCAAAAGACTGCACAGGAACCCAAACACGAAACACAGTTGGCAGCAGGGAGAGGACTTCTGTCATCTCATAACCTCTCAATTTGATCTCCTGAATCCAAGAGAACCTGACATGAGATAACACACACTCTGAAGAACTGGGAGGTGTAAACAAACCTATCAAAGCCTGTCTTTTAAAGTAGGTCCAGTAAGTGCAAATATCTCAATACCATTTGAGATGCAGATCTGACTGGGTCTGAAAATATTGGTGACATTGTAACCATTCCAGTTATTATAATCTGTAAAAATGCATTTAGATCCCACTTTTCTGCTTTTATACAGTATCCGTAAGAGGAGGAACTGCATCAGTGTTATAATTTCAGCTACGAAGCAGTAACTGTTGAACCGATAGGAATCTAAGATTTAGGGCCCAGGAAAGCTGACAGTACAAAAAGAGGTCACCACTAGGAGGCAGATACTGCTGTCCCAGAAGCCCATGCCTAAACCAACAGGGAATCCCCTTCCCTTCCCTTCCCTTCCCTTCCCTTCCCTGCCCTGCCCTGCCCTGCCCTGCCCTGCCCTGCCCCCTGCCCCTGCCCTGCCCCTGCCCCTCCAACAGACTGAGTATCCAGCAGTTCCCACTCTTGATGGCAGTGCTGCTGTGCTCTCATCTAGAACCTCAGGATCACTTTTTCTTATCCATACTGTCAGCTTGACTTTGCTCCCTTCTTTCTCCAGTCTCCCAAACTTTCCTGATTTGCCTTTAGCAAGTGTCAATATTTAATGATGCTGTAAGTGAAACAGTCAGATGGTCCACAGGGGCTCAGACATGCCTGTGTCAGCCTGGAAAGTTAGTTGCACAGTCTTGTGAAGTTCTGAATGTCTTCGACAGAACAGGCATGGAAATTAGGGTCCACTCCATACCCAATACTTAGGGTACACTCTATACACTCAAAAGGCCACTGGTTGCATTGATAGAAAAGCTACGCGGAGCTGAGATGCCATCATAAACCCACCTAATCTGTGACTCAAGAGAGAAGCGTGAAGGTAAAATCTGGAATCCAGAGCAGAATATGAGGAAGAAAATAAATGGAACTGCCAGCAGCAGTAAGATACTGATACCACAGTGTAATGTATTTCAGCAATTTCTGGCGCACCGCTGACCTGGGCCCAGGAGGATTGGATCCTGTCTAATAACCATTCACTGTGTCTGTGTGGTGTCTGGGTAGTGCAACATCAGAGTGCGAATGAAACGTTGAAAAATTGTGCTATTCCAGGTTGCATCAGCTGGGGTCACATCCTCTGCCTCCCCAGCATGCCAAACATGGCGTTCAGGAGGAAGAGCTTCTGTGCATGTTCAGAGTTGGAAAGAGCAATCCCAGCTCCTGCTCCTGGCAGAAGGCTTCCTTTCCCTCATTTCAGCAGGCAGGGGATGGAGATATGCCAACGTACATGGTGTACACAGTATTTCCTAGAAACCGGAAGAAGAGTTAGATGAGTTGCCTCATCCCTGTTAGGAGGCTGTTGGCTCATCAGATAAGACAATCATGTTCCTTGTTTTGTCTTATCTGTTTTAGAAGAAGTCAGTTTATTTAATCAGATATGCATCTGTGGGAGTATACTACCTATTCGCTAATGACCTTGCTACAGATGTTAATCTTTATTTTATTTAGGGAACCTATCAGCAGCTCCTTCTATCTCCTGACATCTGCTGTGCTTTCTCCCATGTCTGCAGTATGTAGTTAGATGTAACGATTAGAAAATAAATACAAGGGACAACACTGAGGAGCTAATTTGAGACAAATGCAGTGAATGAAAACAAACAGTAATTAGTAGGGGAAGAGAGGAAGAAGAGAATTATGCTGCTATATTAAGTATTTTTGTCTCACTAGGTAGATGTTTTAAGTATGCATGCTATGGCACCTATTCTTTTTAAGACCTCTCTTTTCCCTTATTTGCTGCTTTCCCCATATGTGTCTGTGAGGAAGAGTGCTTTGGACTGAGATGGCTTTGTGGAAATACTACATTAGTTTGCAGTTTCCAAGGAAGGGGGAGGGAATTGGAGACTGTGCCACAAGGGAGAAGGCAGTGCTGTGGAGTGAGAGGGAGGCTATGGGGTAGGTAGCCAGGCTGGCATTATCCTTAGTCTTCAAAGAAAGGCCTTGAGAGACACGTGCAATCCTTGGTGCTAATTACAATAAATTGAGCAAAGAGGGTAGGAAGGACCCAGCTGAAGGACTTGAATAGGGAACTGAATGAAAAAAAGCCCAGGAAGGACGTTGGGCTGTTAGAGCAAGTCCAGAGGAGGGCTACATGGTCAGAGGGCTGGAGCACTCCCCTTATGAGGACAGGCTGAGAAAGTTGGGGTTGTTCAGCCTGGAGAAGAGAAGGCTCCAGGGAGACCTTGTAGCAGCCTTCCAGTACCTGACGGGGGCCTACAGAATAGATGGGGAGGCACTCTTTATCAGGGAGTGTGGTGACAGGATAAGGGGTAATGGTTTTAAGCTGAAAGAGGGGAGATTTAAATTAGTTATAAGGAAGATATTTTTTACTGTGAGGGTGGTGAGGGACTGGAAGAGGTTGCCCAGAGAAGCTGTGGATGTCCCATCCCTGGAGGTGTTCAAGGCCAGGCTGGATGAGGCTTTGAGCAACCTGGTCTAGTGGAAGGTGTCCCTGCCCATGGCAGGGGGGTTGGAACTCGATGATCTTTAAGGCCTCTTCCAACCCAAACCATTCTATGATTCTATGATTCTAGTAGAGATTATCTTTACTGCATAGCTTTGGATGCCACACTTTGAGCCTGATGAACAGGCTCAGTCATTATCAGTGAAATGATACATGATAATAACAGCTAGGAGCAGAGATTGCTCGGAATAGATAAAAGACACATTGGTTTGGCCAACTTAAGCTGAACTAGTATCTGGAAAGATATCTGTAAAATTATGTAAGAAAAAAAGATTAATGACTAGAAGAGTAGAAACAAAACAGGCAACAGCACGAAGATGATTGCTAACAAGGATGAATAAGGACCAAGAATGTGTCTGGGAAAATAGAGCAATGAGAAGGAACTGCATACTGGCATGTTAAAATAGAAATCACAGGGGAGGCTGCCATGAAAGTAGGGTGGGAAAGCGGAGGATTTAAGTCTACCAATAGATCTAGGAGGTACAGCAAGCACTTGCTACAAGACATTCTCAGGAACATCTTGTCATTTGGCTGGTAATCTGACCAGTGTTGTTCTTGCGTACAGGTGATGGTTTCTGCCACTGCTTTCTCTAGCACATAGGTATTTGAAAAGTCATTTTAATGCTACAGTCCATCTCTGATGAAGTCTGGTATCTTTGTTCGCAGCGCTGTATGCCACAGTTATCTTAATCACGGGGTTTGCTTCATCGTGTTACTGTTTCTTTTCTTTCTTTTTAATTCTGGTTCTTCTCTGCTTTCTACCATGAGATTTTTTTCTGGGAATCTTGTGCTTATTCTTCTTCATCCATTTTTTAACTTTTCTAATCCGTGGGCTCACACAGAACTTTCTGCCTTCTATGTAGAGACTGCCAGAGCAAAAACTGGTTGTCAGTTTCAAAGAAAAAATGTAAAACCCCCAACTTTTAAAAACAATCATACTTATCACTCACCCAGGAGGACCACAAAGTGAGAATTGGTTCATCTTAAATTATTTTTTATAATATGTCTAATCACTTTTGTCTGTTTTCAAATATGTAAAAGTTAGGATCTAAGGTGTACATGATTAGACCTGTCTTCCAAAACCTGAAAAAAGCTTTACTGCTTCAGTGGGTCCGAAAAGAACCACAATGCAAAATAATACATTTCTATGGCCAATAAATAAGTAGACCACTTTATTATAATTGTTGTCATGATCATCACGCAAATGTCTAGAAATAAAAAATGTCCAGGATTTCTTTGAAATTTATCAATTTAACCTAGACAGTGTGATATTGTACTAGCCAAAAAAAAAAGGCAATAGTTTATGTACAACAGTAAAGCTGATTTAATGATTCTAGGCAAGGTTTGTACAGGATCAATAGTTGGAAGAAACCAGACAAGACTTAGGTGCATGAGTCATTCTTCAGTTCTGAAAATAAAGCAAGTGTCAAAGTTAGTGCAGGCTGAATATCAATATTATTACTGAAACGGAAATTCAGTTTTAGCAGTCAGAAGTTTAAATAGCAGAAGGAAGGACAGTTCTTAAATTACACATAGACTTGTTTTTAATTGAATTTGTGTTAGCATTCTAAGATTCTACTTGTTTAAATGGTGCCTAATAGGTTTTAACTTGTCAGTACACCTTTCACAGTGAAGGATCCAAAACATCTCTTACATAACAGCTTCTAGGTGACACAGGCCATCTGCCTTCTGGATATCGAACCTCTCCACTCTTCGGAGAATTCCTTTGGGAATTTCATCTGAAACTTTTGTGCAACAGTTAAAGGCCCCAGGAAACAAAGCTAAAAAGAGTAATAACAATGTTAGAAACAACATAGATATGAAGGGGACAAGTCATAGCCTGACTTCACAGAACCACAGAATGGTTGAGGTTGGAAGGAACCTCTAGAAATAATCTGGTCCAACCCCCATGCTCAAGCAGGGCAACCAGAGCCGCTTGCCCAGGACCACGTCCAGACTGCTTTATAATATCTCCAATGATGGAGACTATGCAACACAGCAACATAGCTGGGCAACCTGCTCCAATGTTTGATCACCCTCACAGAAAAGAAGGAAAAAAAAAAAAAAAGTGGCTTCCTGTGTTCAGATTGAATTTCATGTGTTTTAATTTGTGCCCATTGCCTTTTGTCATGTCAGTGGGTACTGCTGCAAAGAGCCCGGCTCCCTCTTCTTTTTTCATTCCCATCAGGTGTGGGAATGATGGTTACAACACCTTGATGAGAACTCACTTGAGCCTTCTCTTCTCCAGGATAAACAGTCCCAGCTCTCTCAGCCTTTCCTCATATTCAAGATGCTCCAGTCCCTTCACCATCTTTGTGGCCCTTTGCTCGACTCCCTCCAGTTAATCCACATCTCTCTTGTACTGGGGAGCCCAGAACTGGACCCAGCACTCCAGATGTGGCCTCACTAGTGCTGAGTAGAGGGGAAAGATCATCTCCCTCAACCCTGTGACTGGTACCCCCTGCTCCCAACCTCTACTAAGGTGGCTGCTTAGCATAACTAATGCCACTTTATGAGGCAAGCAGCCATTCTGTGTGACCGAGTAAGTTACGTATTTGTGCTCTTTCCGTCATTATCAAGCCCTGAATGTCCTGTGAACCAAGTAGACAAAGCAGAGTTCTAAGGGGTAATGGTTTTAAGCTGAAAGAGGGTAGATTTAGATTAGATATTAGGAGGAAGTTTTTTCCTGTGAGGGTGGTGAGGGACTCGAAGAGGTTGCCCAGAGAAGCTGTGGATGCCCCATCCTTGGAGGTGTTCAAGGCCAGGCTGGATGAGGCTTTGAGCAACCTGGGCTAGTGGGAGGTTTCCCTGCCCATGGCAGGGGGGTTGGAACTCAATGATCCTTAAGGTCTCTTCCAACCCAAACCATTCTATGATTCTATGATTCTGTGATATTCTATGATTCTTCTTCCCTTCCCTACCAACCCCTGGCAGGTACTGCTGCCTGGTGTTATTCCTCCCCAGATGCAGGATGTTGCATTTCCCCTTGATGAACTTCATGAGATTCTTCTCTGCCCATTTCTACAGCCTGATGAGGTCTAACTGTAAGGCAGAAAACCCATGTGATGGATGAGCTACTGCTCCTGGTTTTTATAATCTCCAAACTTGATGAAGGCACGTTCTGTCCCATTGTCCAGGTCATTAATTAATATGTTGAACAGTATTGGTCCCGGTGCTGATTCCTGGGAGTTCACCACTGGTGACTTGCTTCTAATTGGACTTTGTGCCACTGATCTCAACCCTATGGACCTGGTTGTTTGGCCAGTTTTTGGTCCACCTCACTATTCACTCATCTAACCTGTACTTTGTCAGCTTGTCTGCAATGATGTTATAGGAGACAGTATTAAATGCTTTACTGAAGTCGAGATAAACATCATCCACTGCTCTCCTCTTGATCACCAAGATAGTCACCTCATTGTAGGCTATCAGGTTGGTCAAGCATGATTTCCCCATCATAAATTCATGTTAACTACTCCTGATCACTGTCTTGTCCTTCAGATCTTTGGAAATGCTTTCCAGAAGGATTTTTTCCATCAGCTTCCCAGGGATTGAGGTGAGGTTGGCCAGCCTATAGTTCCCTGTATCTTCCTTCTTGCCCTTCTTGAAGATAGGAGTGATGTTTGCTTCTCTTCCTGTCTTCAGAAACCTCTCCCGGTTGCCATGACTGTTCAAAGATAATTGACAGTGACCTCACAATGCCATCAGCCAGCCTCCTCAGCACTGGTGGGGTGCATCCCATCTGTGCCTGTGGCCTTATGTAGGTCCAGTTTTTTCAAGTGCTCCCTAATTTGGTTCTCCACTGACAATAAGCCTTCCTTGCTCCAGACTTTCCCTCTGGTCTCAGAGACTTGGGATTCTTGAAGGACATTTTGAACGGTAAAGAGTGAGGCAAAGAAAGTGTTGAGTACCTCAGCCTTATCCATGTAATTTGTCACTAGTTGCCCTGCCCCATTCAGCAGCAGGTTCACATATTCCCTCTCCTTTCTTTTGCTATTTATGTACTTGTGGAATCCTTCCCTGTTGTGCATGCCTTGCCAGATTAAATTCCAGCTCAGCCTTGGATTTCCTAAACCCATTCCTGCATGATCAGACAGCAACTCTATACTCCACCTGCGTCACCTGCCCCTTTTTCCACCCCTTTGTTCCACACTTTGTTTTTATGTTTGATTTCATTTAGGAGCTCTGCGCTCATCCATACAGGCCTCCTGCCACTTTGCGTGGTTTTCTCTTTGTTGGAACAGACCTGTCTAGAGCTTGGAGGAGGTGACCGTTGAATATCAGCAAGCTCTCCTCAACCCCTCTTCTCTCCAGGGTCATATTCCATGGGATTCTTCCATGCAGGTCTCTGAGGAGGTTGTAAATCTGCTCCCCTGAAACCCAGGGCTGTGATCTTGGTTTTTGCTCTGCTCTCTTCTTCCAGGATCCTGAACTCCACCATCTAATGGTCACTGCAGCCAATGATGACTCTGCCTTTCATGTCCCTGACCAGTTCTTCCTTGTTTGCAAGAATCTGGTACAGCTGAGGGCGTTTGCTTGCTGGTTCTTTGATTACTTGTGCTGAAAGATGTCATCAATGCACTCAAGAAATGTTGTAGATTGCTTGAGCACTGCTGTATTGTCCTTCCAGCAGATAGCAGGGTGGTTAAAGTCCCCCATGAGGACCAGGGCCTGTGAATGTGAGGCTTTTTCCAGCTGTTTGAAGAAGGCCTCATCCACTTCTTCCTGGTCAGGAGACCTATCGCAGACACCCGTGTTGGTCTGCCCACTGATCCTGACCCATAAACTCTCAGTTGGCTCATCATCCATCCCCAGGCAGAGCTCCATTCATTCCT